CTCTCTAAAAACTTAATATAAAAATGTTCCTCAATAAATAGTATCTGCAATGTGAAAAATATTAGGGGTTTACAGTTGTATTATCTGAAAATTTGATTGTGCTTCAGAGGTGAGCGAATTTCTCTCTAAACTGACTTTACAATTCTGTTTCGTAATTAACGTAACATAATCCGGTAGAATTATTCAACTTTCTGACTTGAGGGTACTGGTTTTAGCCTTCAATATCAAGCATTTGCTGAATTTTTGAAGTTTTTTCATCAATTATTTTAATTTTTACTTCCCGAGCATAAGCTAAGGAAGTATAGTAATCACTTTTATGTTTTCTCGACGTTTCATGACCCCTATAGTACGAAAAAAAGCGAGTTTCTGGTTTCCATCTGTCCATCTGTCCATCTGTCTGTCTGTCTGTCTGTCTGTCTGTCTTGTGTCTGTATCCATTTTTCTTAGACACGTAATCTCCGAAACTGCTGGACCCATAGTTGTCAGATTTTGTTGTATATATGTTAGAAATAGCATGTACTAGATGGTTAAATGCTAACCAAAATTTGGCTAACCTTCCCCACCAACAATTTGATCACGTCATCTAAATGAACCGTACTTTAAAATGATTTTTTAATGTTATCCAAAAATGTACTCCTATATTTGTAGTATACGAATCCGCTTTCAGTTTCTTCGCTAATTTTTGGAAATTTTGATTTCACTTTTCGTGTTTATTGGAGCAGATATCCTGACGGTGATCGCAGACTTGTAACTGGCGGAAGATTATTTACAATTTGATACCAATTTTCGTTGGATTGAACCCATTTTAACCTCTTTTTTTTGAAAATTTTGAATGAACTTTTCGTACTTACTCGAACAGATATCGTGATGGCGATTCCAGATTTGTAACTGGCGTAAGATGATTTACAATTTGACGCCAATTCTCGGTCGATCGAACCCATTTTAGCCGTTTTTTTGGATTTTTTTTTTTAATTTTGGAACCATAATTATAGTTTTATTTCAATAGATGTCAAGAAGGCGATTTCGGATTTGTAACCGACGGAAGATTATCTGCAATTTGACACGAATTTTCGGTTGATTGAACAAATTTTAACAATTTTTTTGGAACTTGTTTTTAAATTTTAGAATCAAACTTTACTTTTATTTGAATAGATGTCGTGAAGACAATTTCGAATTTGTAACTGATGGAAGAGTTTCTACAATTTGACACCAATTTTCGGTGGATTGAACCGATTTTAACCATTATTTTAGAAAATTTTTAATTCAGTTTTCGTGTTTATTGAAAAAGATATTCTGACGGCAATTTCAGATTTGTAACTGATGAAAAATAATCTAAAATTTGATACCAATTTTCGGTCGATTGAACCAATTTTAACCATTTTTTTTGGAAAATTTTCAATTCTCTTTTCGTGTTTATTGGAACAGATATCCAGACCGCGATTTCAGATTTGTAACTGGCGGTTGATTATCTGCAATTCCCGGTTCAATCGACCAATTTTTGGTCGATTGACCCGGGAATTTTAACCATTTTTTTGGAAAGTTTTTGAAAATTTTCGAACCATATATGTATTACCTTTATTTTAATATATAGGCGATTTCAAATTTGTAACCGGCGGAAGATTATCTATAATTTGACACCAATTTTCGGTTAATTGAACCACTTTTAACCATTTTTTTTTGTTTTTTTTTTTTTAATTTTAGAATCAAACTTTACTTTCATGTGAATAGATGGCGTGAAGACGATTTCGGATTTGTAATTGATGGAAGAGTTTCTACAATTTGACACCAATTTTCAGTGGATTGAACCGATTTTAACCATTATTTTGGAAAATTTTTGAAAATTTTGAATTCACTTTTCGTTTCGTTTCGTGTATTGAAAAAGATATTCTGACGGCGATTTCAGATTTGTAACTGATGAAAGATTATCTAAAATTTAACACCAATTTTCAGTTAGTTGAACCAATTTTAACCATTTTTTTGGAAAATTTTCAATTCTCTTTTCGTGTTTATTGGAACAGATACCCAGACCGCGATTTTACATTTGTAACTGACGAATGATTATCTGCAATTTGACGCCAATGTATGGTCGATTGGACCGGGAATTTTAACCATTTTTTTCGAAATTTTGGAACCATATGTATTACTTTTATTTCAATAGATAACCGATTTCGAATTTGAAACCGGCGGAAGATTATCTAAAATTTGACACCAATTTTCGATTAATTGAACCAATTTTAACCATTTTTTTAGAAAATTTTTGGAAAATCGAAAAACTAAAAAATTGAAGAATCGAAAAATTGCAGATAGAAAAATTAAAAAATCGACAAACTAAAAGATCAGAAAAAATAGCAAATTCGAAAAAATTGCAAATGGAATGGTACTGAAGAAACGGAAAATTGAAACTTTGAAAAACTAAAAATCCAGAAAGTTAAAAATCTAAAAAAATTAATAAATCAAAAAATTGGAAAGAAGAAAAAATTAATCCAATCGAAAAATTGGAAAAACCAAAAATTTTAAAATAGCAAAATTATGAAATACTCAAAGTTGTAAAGTGGAACGACATAACATTGAAACATCGAAAAATTGAAAAATTAAATGTCGAGAAATTGAAAAATTAACTTGAATAAATGAAAAAGTGAAAATTTTTAAAAATTATGATTATTATTACATATGTATTTAAAGCGAAAACTATAAAAATTGCAAAACGAAAATTTGAAAAATTCACACTGAAAAAAGAAAATTTTAAAATCAAAACATTGAAAAACAGAAGATAACAAACCGAAACGGAAAATTGAAAATCGAAAATTTGAAGAAATGAAAAATTACATAATCGAAAAATTGAAAAATTAAAAACTGCAGAAATTTTAAGTACAAAAATTTAAAAACAAACTTAAAAATTCAAAAAATTGCAAATCGAGAAACTGAAGAAACAAAAAAATTAAAAATTGAAGAATTGAAAAATTCAAGTCCAAAGAAGCTCCAGGAGTGTTATTACACCACTGATTTTAGCTTTATGGAGGCTATAAAAAAACAAAAATCGCAAAAAATAATATTTTTATAATATATCAAAAAAGCGCAATTTGTTCGGTTGTAGTTCAGGGGCGAGGGAAGTTTTCTGGAAATAATTTTCGACCAATTTTTTTAGCATTATATGAAGCAAGAACCTGAAATATTATTATCTAAGATATACCATCTGGTCGACAAAAGAAGTCCTCTAGTAAGTTTGATATTTCTTTTTCATACCAACATCAATATTTTAAAATTAAATTTCATAGTCTACTGGCATTTTTTTTTTTTCGATCAAATAGCACGATGGTGACAGTGAAGAGTAAATTTAAGAACAGAAAACATCTAAAAACGACGTCAATTTTCTAGAGCTGATGAAGAACAAATTTTTCTAATTAGTGTTGTCAGTGTTCAAACCTTAAAATAATTTGAAAATTCCTTTTTATACGGAATCCCGTATAAGAAAAATTAAAAGTGGTATGACAACTAAAATAACAGGGGAGTTACAAATGGTGTATACTTAACAAAATTCCGACGTGACGTCATCAGTTGGAGAGGGGGTATTTTGAACAAACAAGGGTTTTACCACCGTTATTTCTGTCGTCTTCCAGCTACTTTCTTTCGTATTTATCTAAATGCTAATTTCATGAATTACTTTTTCAAAAACGTTCCCAAGGGACCCAAAAACGGAAACATTCGTCTCTTTATAGTACGGGATCTCTTGATACATAAAAACAATTGACTCTTAAAATAAATTCGAATTGTATTCACAACTAAAGAAATGTTGATCCCTAGCTAGAAAGTGAAATTTGTAAACATTAATAAAATACACTGTTAAAAAAAAGTTTTACCTTTTAGGTATAAAATCGCTTTTTGCAAGATGTAACTTACGACACTGGACACTAAACATCATTAAAAATTTCCAGACCCTATTTACCCTTGTTATACAAAGTAATGAAAAAATAACGTATATGCTCGATGGCAAAGATTTTAATGTGGACCCTTATACAAATTTCGGGTTCCTGGATCTAAAATTAACAAAATTTCAAAAAACAATGCGAGCAACGTAACCCATTAAAAAATGTACCTTTCCTCAGGAAATTTAATTTTCGACGTTTAGACAAAACCATTTGAAAAAAAACAACCAATAAGTGGATCCGCCAGCGACTATTTCCAACAAAGAAACATAATATTTGACTTATTCAACATCTAACAAATCTAATTTATTTCAAGATGTTTACACACACGTCGTCTAAGACAAGCAACATGTCTCCTTAAACACATCTATATAGGGTGAAAACCAAAGACACTAAACTTGAAGAAAAAAAATCCTGATACTCCTGATCATGCATTAAGTGACAGAGCTGCTTGAAGAGTAACTGTTGATGAATTAACATAGAAAACACAACGGTTTTCTTACTAAACTTAAGTAAAATTGATGGGGGGTCAAATATTGATTTTTCTATCGAATTCTGGGTTACCGCAGGCACCATGTCAAGACAGTTACTTATTATTATGACGTAGGAGTTGTTGTTAATATATGTGACAGGATCATTGACTGTAATGCTTCATTATTTCTTTGCACATTTCAATTTTGTCACAAATTAGAGTATGTATTATGTCGAGGGAATTACTTGTTATGAGGTTTGATTCGTGCGGACGTAAAGAAAACTTGGTGAAATAAACCGTATTTATGTGGTTATTTAGACACAAAGTACAATACAAAAATGGGGTCCGAAGTGTCGAAAACTTAGGTACGTTAAAAAAATTCAAAACAATAATGATAAAATTTCCTAGTGTCTGGGAAAAACCAGCTCTTTAATTAAACAAAAAAGCAGACATGAAGTTGACGTTTCGCACTTAGTTGCTGCTTTAATTTATACCTGGCTTAATTCTTTGAATGTTTGCATGTGTGCATCACTAAATTTAACCTTGAATCATGGCATAAATCAGCCCATGAAATTCGTTTTATTAACCTATAATTTGCAACCTACCGATGCTCCATTTAGCCCCAACCTGATCCTCGAGTACTTCTTCATGACAACTCTCCATATGACGTAAGCCATTTTCACAACCACAAACCATTTGTCGCCGAAAATCACAACACCAAGAACTTTAAAACCTGTTGCAAAATTCGCCCGAAGGTCTCGTTACCACACACAATCAGCTTTGTTTATTTTTACCCAACATATTTGGTTTATCAATTACAAGACAATACCACTTTTTTCAGGTAAATGACGTTGAACACAGCACGTGACCACCTATTTGCATTCACAGCCCACTGTTTTCTATCGTACACTGAACACCGCAGCATTAAAAATGATTACGAAGATAATTATATTTGCCTAACACGAATTCTTGTTTGTTCATCATAAAAAAATTCTAATCTTGTTCGGTATTTACGGCCGCACTAAACACATCGCGACTTCCGGAAGTGCCGGAACTGGCGGTTCTCGGATGTCCATCGCGAAAAACGCGGAAAACAGCCACATTTTGCGCCGACAATCCAGCGGTAGCAAAGGTAAACTTGCATCAACTTGGCCGCGCGCGAAACGAACGACTGCGGTCGACACACGTGCTTCTTCGGCGGGTTCCGACAGATTTCGGCGAGGAATGTGCGAAGGAGAATCGGCGAAAGTGAGAGAGCGAGAGAGAGCGGCGACGAAGAGGGAGAGGGTGGATCTTTTTGTCATTAATTATTTGACGGTCGCTGTCTGGAGGTGTGTCGACATGTTGTACTTTGTAATTTGACGATTAGACGGTAAGGGATCGATTTTCGATCGGGGGTGTAGTGATTGGTTACAATAACGCGATACAAAACAAAGTCAAGTTATAATTTTCTTTTGAATAATATAATTCTTCGAGTTAATATCCTTCTGTAACTTTGTAACTCTAAAACCACGAAAATGCAGGATTTCTGTTTTTGTCGCGTTTTCTTTGGTCTGTTTTTTTTATCACCATTTGGGTACTTTTTTATTTTTTGTCCTTTTAGTGGCTTTTTTAGCACTTTTTAATCGGTTGTCGTCGCCTTTTTTTATCTTTTTTATTTTCGTCGGGTTTTCTATGTCTTTTCTTTTGGCGTCTTTTAACATTTTTTGTTTTAACTTTTACGTTTTCTCGACATTTCATGACTCCTAAAATACGAAGAAATAGGTCTCCCGTTTCCGTCTGTCTGTCTGTATGTCTGCGGTATGTCCGAATTTTTATTAGACAGATAGTTTCCGAAACTACTTGACCGATTGTTGTCAAATTTTGTAGGTAGGTACATTAGGAATATCATCTGGATGGTAAAATGCTCACCTAAATTTCGTTAATCTTCCCCAATACCAAAGGGATGACGTCTTCTCCAAAATGTACTATAATATATTTTTTTAATTTGTGATGTGTGAATCAGTCTTGAGTTTTCACTTTTGACATTCAGATTTTTAGAAAAAAAAATCACAATTGTATACCATTTTGCAATTTAACTTTGAAACTACAAAACCTAATGCCCTGAAATCTTGCAAACATTCAAACATTTTAGGGTTATCTTATAATGGTAAATCGTTATTCAAAATTTATTCGTTTATCCCCACCAAAACATTGATGACGTCATCTGAAAAGTTTGCCGAATAAATCCTGTTGAAAATGTGTTAAGCATATATTTGTTCATATTTTTTAGAATTGGTTATACAAGGTGACTCAAAAAAATTAATGAATTAGTCAATTATTTTATTGATTAAATCAGAAACTACAAAACCGAATGTTTTGAAATCTTTTAGACGTTTTAAAGTTATCGCAAGTACAGTAAATTTGTAATCTATATACTTATATTTGTTTATCACCTCCAAAAATTTAATGACGTGTCTCAAAATTTTGCCAAAAAATGTGCAAATATGATATATACTTGTCATTTTTCATTGCTTTTATATTTTTGAAATCTATTTATTCCGGACGGCCCAAAAAATTAAGGAAGGAGTCAATTTTTTGTATTGATTAAACTAGGAAAATTTTTGAAAACAATTACGTTATTATTAGTATTATATACTAATTATACATGTCTTTGCAAAAATGTAGATGACGTCATCATAAAAGCTTATAAAAGAAAAACTGCATATATATCTTTATTTTAACTTCTGGAAGTAGTGATAAAAATAAAAAAATTCGCAACATGAAATTTTATTATTTTTCGAAAAAGCTGGATATTTTTTTTGTATTTCAGGGGCGAGAGAAGTTCTGTCGAAATAACCTTTTTTTGCCTTCTTTTTGTAGCTCTTATCAATAGCCCTTTTTTGTCGTTCCTTTATCGATGTTTTCTTTGTGCCTTTTTGTTCGATTGTTTGTTATTTTATATGCCGTTTTGATCGTTTAAATAGCTTTTTAACTCGTCTTTTTTGTTTTTTCGTTGCGTTTTTTGTCTCGTATCACTTGTTGTTTTTGAACCATTTTTTATCGTCTTTTTCTGCATATTTTGCCGTATTTTTTCTTTTACTCATCATTTTTGTCCCTTTTGTTTTAATGCTTTTCTGTCGTCTTTTTTTTCAGCTTTTTTGGCTTCTTCTTTGTCGCATTTTTTGCCCCCGTGTTTTGTTGTGTTTTTGTCCCTTTATTATGTCGCTTTTTATTTGTTGCCCTTTTGTTTTCGTTGATTTTTTGTAGCTTTCTTAGTCGTCCTTACTTGGACGCCCCTCTTGTCTCACTTTTTTGTTGGCCATTTACTACCTTTTCGCGTTTTCTTTGTGCCTTTTTTTATTGTTTTTTGTTCTTTGGCATCTTTTTTGTATTTTTTTTTCACTTCTTCCGCATTTTTTACCCCCGTTTTCCCCAACTGGTTTTTGTTGACCCTTTGAGTCCTTTTTTAGCTTTTTTAGTCCCCGTTTTTCAACTGATTTTTGTATCATTTTTTTTTTCGTTTCTTATAGTCGTTTTTGCGTTTTTTTGTATACTTTTTGGTGTTAATTTATCCTTTTATATCGCGTTTTTTTCCCATTTTTCTTGTCGATTTTGTACCCGGCACTGCATTTTATTAAGTTTTCATGGTTTTGCCTATTTTTTTGCCTTTTTTAACTTTTTGTGTCCTTTTTTATCACCTTCTTTTTAGCGCCTTTTGTATCACTTTTTATGCAGTTTTTGGCACTTTCATTGTGTCTTTTTCTCGATTTTGTTGTTGGCTTTCTTAGCCCTTTTTTTGTTTTGTTGTTTTTTTTGTGCCATTTTTAGTCTCTCGTTTTTATGTGTTTTTGTATCGGATTTTTTATCGTTTTTGGTGGACTTTTTGGCGTTTCCTTTGTACTTTTTTTATTGCTCTTTTTTAGTCGCCTTTATTCAATTTTGTTCTGCCGTTATCTCTTGTCACTTTTATTACCGTTTTTTACGGGTTTGTAATCACTTTTTATCACTTTTTTCACTTAATTATTGACTCCTTTGTCTTAAAGTATACCTATTTTCAACCACAAGACGTTTAAAACATAATTCTTACTTCAAATTTACCATTTGATATTTTAAGTATCTGATTGTTGAAAGAAGACTATGCATATGTACTAAGAAAATCCAAGGTTAAGCCCCACCCACCCACCCCATCTCAACTGTGACTATTTTTTTATTCGTTGTGAGGCCAGAGGGCGGAACTTAATTGCAAATTTTACTTTTGAGAAAATAAGAATATTCTTTCGCTACTTTTTCGGAAAATAGTACGTTTTCAAAAATACCATAATACCACACATATTTTCTTGTCTTGCTAATTTCTTGTACAGCAATATCAACTTTACAGTTAAACTCCGCCCTTCTAGCTGACAACGAATAAAAAATTGATCACAACTGAGACAAGGGTGGGTGGGTGGGGCTTAATTATTGGCTCCTTTGTCTTAAATTATACCTATTTTCAACCACAAGACATTTAAAACATAATTCTTACCTCAAATTTACTATTTGATATTTTAAGTATCTTAGTTTTGAAAGAAGGCTATGTATATGTACTAAGAAAACCAAAGGTTAAGCCCCACGCACCCACCCCATCTCAATTGTGACTATTTTTTTTATTCGTTGTGAGACCAGAGGGCGGAACTTAATTGCAAATTTTACTTTTGAGAGAATAAGAATATTCTTTCTCTACTTTTTCGGAAAATAGTCGGTTTTCAACAATACCATAATACCACACACATGTTTCTCTTGGTAATTTCTTGTACATCAATATAAACTTTGCAGTTAAGCTCCGCCCTCTAGTCTGACAACGAATAGAAAATTGATCACAACTGGGACAAGGGTGGGTAGGTGGGGCTTAATTATTGGCTCCTTTGTCTTAAAGTATACCTATTTTCAACCCCAAGACATTTAAATCATAATTCTTACTTCAAATTTACCATTTGATATTTTAAGTATCTTAGTTTTGAAAGAAGGCTATGTATATGTACTAAGAAAACCAAAGGTTAACCCCCACCCACCCACCCCATTTCAATTGTGACTAATTTTTTTATTCGTTGTGAGGCCAGAGGGTGGAACTTAATTGCAAATTGCCTTTTTTGTCGCATTTTTTAACCATTTTTACTTCCCGAGTGTAAGCGAAGTAAGTATTGTAATCAAGTTTATCGGACGAATGGCCACTTTTATGTTTTCTCGACGTTACATGACCCCTACACTACGAAAAAAGCAGTCTCCCGTTTCTGTTTGTCTGTATGTCTGCCGATTGTTGTTAAATTTTGAATGTTAACCAAAATTTGACTAATCATCCCTGCCAACAATTTCAATGAATGGTATTTTAATATGATTTGAATGTTACACAAAAATATGCTGATATACTTGTAGTGTGCGAATCCACTTTCAGGTTGTTCACTAAACGTTCAAATTTTCGCAAAAATATTTGCAAGGTATAATAACGTTTTATTTCCAACACGGTTTGTACGTCTCCGTCGCGCAGTGGGTGTATCGAAGAGAACGCCAACCTGGGGTACTGCGCTTGTGGGTTCGATGCCGAACTTGGCCCTTTCCTTTTTTTTTCTTGCGTTGGTATAACGCTACGGCTACATTTCTTTTGTGCTGTGACTAGAATTATCCATGTTGATGACGTCATCACACATTTTTATTGGTCAAATGAAGAACGAGTCTCCCATTTTCTCGAAAATGTGAAGAATACGCATGTCTTTATATAATAATGATAAAGTAAGAATTATAATATTCAGAACATTTTGTTTGATTGTGGTTTAATTAATAATTTCTACGTGACATTCTTTCGATGTATAAACCATAAATAAACACTTAAGCTTCAGATTGCTATTACCTAGTGCTGAAGGACAAGGGGTGTTATTTATGTCTCTGGTTTTTACTTTACAGCGGTTATTACAAAACGAAAATCGTAAAATCAAATTTTATAATTTTTTTAAAGAGCTGGATTTGTCGCATTACAAATAAGAACCTCATTTTCTAGAAAATGTGAAAATATCCACGTTTTTATTTAATTATGATAAATAAATGGGAATAATAATAATCATATTCAAAAGATTTTGTTCCATTGTGACTTAATAATTTCAGTCTTCTGTTTTGAGGAGACAACTCACTCAAATTA